AGAAAGTTTTTACTATTAAATAACAATGCTAATATAAGATACCAGAACTTATGGGAAGCAATGAAAGGAATACTATGAAATAAATTTATAGTAGTAAATTCCCACCTCAGAAAATTAGAGAAAGTTCCAATAAATAACCTAATGTTTTGCCTCAAGGTTCTAGAAAAATAGGAACAAGCAAACCCAAAGTGCAGATGAGGGAGGAAATTGTAAAGATTAGAGATAAATTAATGTAATTGAGACTAAGAAAACAATTCAAAGAATTAATGAATAAAAAGTTGGCTTGTGAAAGATTAAATAAAGAAACATAAAAGGGCCTAGGATTTAGTTCAGTGGTTCTCCCGCCTGCCTTGCAAGTGCAAGGACCTGTGTTTGATCCCCGACACCAAAAAGCAAACAAACAAACAAAACACACAGCCAAACATAAAAAAAAGGAAAGAAGTGACCCATATCCATGCAATTAGGAATTAAAAGGGCAAAATTACAATGGATCCTCCAGAAATTCAGAAAATTGTCAAAACCTACTTAGAGAACTTGCACTCTATTAAGATAGAAAAGTGAGAAGAAATGGACAGATTCCTAGATACATATGAATTATCAAAGCTGAATCAAGAAAATATAAAACTTCTAAATAACCCAATAACAGTCAATGAAGTTGAAGGAGTAATTTTAAAACTACCAACAAGAAAAGCCAAGTCCTAACAGGTTGACCGATGAATTCTATAAAAACATTTAGAGAAAATTTAATGGCACTATTTTTCAAATGCTTTAATGAAATTGAAGAGAAAGCAATACTTCCAAACTCTTTTCTGGAAACATGAATTATCCTGATACCAAAACCAGAGAAGGATCCAAATAAAACACAGAGTTACATGCCAGTCCCCCTAATGAACACAGATGCAAAAATCCTTAATAAGATACTGGCAAACAAAATGCACTAAACCATCAAGAAAATTATACAACATGACCAAATAGGATTAATTTCAAGGATGCAAGGATGGTTCAACAAATGCAAATAAATGAATGTAATATACTGCATTAACAAAACCAAGGATAATAACCACAATATCATCTCAATAGATGCAGAAAAAACAATTGACAAAAGTGCAACACATATTCATTATTAAAATCCCTACAGAAAATTGGAAAAGAAAGTCTTTCTCAATCTGATAAAAACCATCTATGACACAAAACAGCTAATATCATACAAAATGGAGAAAAACTGAAAACTTTCACTCTAAAATCCGAACAACTCCAGGATGACCACTGCCATTAGTCCTATTCAATATAGTTTCTGAGCTGGGCGGGGATTCAGTTCAGTGGTTCCGCCGCCTGCTTTGCCAGTGCAAGGGCCTGAGTTCGATCCCCCATACCAAAATAAATAAATAAATAAATAAATAAAATAAAAAAGTCTGGGTATGGTGGCTCATGCCTGTAATCCCAGCACTTTGGAGGCTGAGGCAGGAGGATCACTGTGACCAGCCTGGGCTACATAGTGAGTTCCAGGTCAGTCTGATGAACTACATAGTGAGACCCTGTCTCAAAAGCCAACACAACAACACCAAGAATATAGTTTCTGAAACAGAGCAATTAGACAATAGAAAGAAGAAAAAGGAATAAAGATAGGAAAGGAAGAAGTTAAATTGTCATTATTTGAGGATGACATGACTCTTAACATAAAAGACCCCAAAACTCCACCAAAAGACTGCTAGATTTAATGTAGCTGGATACAAACATAACACTCAAATATCAATAGCACTCCTGTATACACATAATAAACTCACTGAGAAACTAGGGAAACACCTTTCAAATAGCATCGAAAAAAAATGAAATATTTAGGAATCAATCTAACAAAGGAAGTAAATGACCTTTACATTGAAAATCACAGTAGTCTGAAAAAATAGATCAAAGAGGATATCAAAAAATGGAAAGCAGCCAGGGATTTAGCTCAGTGGCACTGTAACTACCTTGCAAGCACAAGGTCCTGAGTTCAAGCCCTGGTACTGCAAACAAAACAAAACAAACAAACAAACAAACAAAATGGAAAGATATCCCTTGCTCTTGTGTAGGAAAAACCAACAGTGAAAATGGCCATATTCCTAAAATTGTTATACAGATTTAACGCAATCCCAATCAAAATACCATTAGCATACCTCACAGAACTATTGAAAACATTCCTAAAATTCACTTGGCATCAGAAGATACCCAGAATAGCAAAAACAATTCTGGGCAAAAAACTGAGGATCAATGGAACAGACTAGGAGATACAGAAACAACCACCAAAACACTCAGGCAACTTAACTTTGACAAAGGGACCAAATACGTTCACTGGAAGAAAGATAGCCTCTTTAATAAGTGGTGCTGGAAAAACTGGCTTCTACATGAGGAAGACTAAAAGTAGACCCATGTCTCTCACCATGCACTAAACTAAAATCAAAATGGATCTAAGATCTAAATATTACAACAGAAACACTAAACATGCTTCAAGAGAGAACAGGTAGAACTCTTGAGTACACAGGGATAAGGAAAGACATCATGAACAAAATAATACAAAGAATCACCAACCGGGATCTCAACCTATTAAAAAGCTTTTGCACCACAAAAGAAATCACCAACATGGTGAAGAGACAAACCACAGAGTAGGAAGAAATTTCAGCTAGTTGTTCTTCAAAGAACTAATAACTAGAACATACAAAGAATTGAAAAAAAATCAGACTCCCCAAATTTAATTTGATCCCAAAATAGGCATTTGAAATGGAGACACTTCTTAGATGAAGAAATACAAACAGCAAATAAACATATGAAAAAATGTTCAACATCACTCTAAGAGATGTAAATGAAAACAATGCTGAGATTCCATCTCACTCCAGAAAGAATGGCTAATAACAAATCAATCAAAAACAAATCTGGGCAGGGCTGAGAGGAAAAAGGAACATTTTTCTACTGTGGTGGGAGTGCAGACTGGTAAACCACTGTAGAAATCAATGTGGAGCTTCCTCAAAGAAGTAGGATTAGAGGTTCCATTTGATCCGGCTATTCCCCTTTTGAGTGTCTTCGTGAAAGAATTAAAAGCATCATACCACAATGATATATGCGCACCCATGTTTATAGTGACACAGGTTGTAATAGCTAAATCTTGGAAACAACCCAAATACCCATCAACTGATGAAAGGATAAAAAAGATGTGAGTTTTAAAATACAATGGAGTACTACTCAACCATAAAAAGGGATAAACTTGAGACATTTATAGCTAAATGGATGCACCTTGAGACTTACTATTAAGTGAAATAAATCTGACACATATGTATAAGTACTGCATTGTCTCAGTGATGTGAGAAACTGAAAGGGTGAAGAAGGACCAAAATGTATAGTAGATATTGTGACATAAGAACAAATGGTTCAAAAGGAAAGGGGAACTAGGAAAGGGGGAGGAAAAAAAGGAAGAAGAAAAAACAAGAAGAGAAGGAAAACATTGAAACAAAGCTTCTGTAAAGAAGGGGGAAGGGGTTGAAGGGAGAGGAAGAATTGGGGAAAAAAAAGAGGAATCAAGATATATCATGTACATGGGCCAGGGATTTAGCTCAGTGCTGCCATACCTGCCTCACAAGCACAAGGTCCTGAGTTTTATCTCCTGCACACACACACTCTCTCTCTCTCTCTCTCTCTCTCTCTCTCTCACACACACACACACACACACACAGATGTATTTCAAGAAGTGAAAAATCTCCCTCGTGGGATTAATACCTGGAGCAGAGAAGCTGAATATAAAGAACAGAGTGGTCCAGAGATCCCATATTGCTTCTTTAGTGATCTGTGACAATAAAGTTAATAAAATTAAAACCGAATGGAATTACAGTTCTTATCATCCAGTCAAATTTAAACTGTCTACATTATTATAGCTAATAGTGTACAGATCGAAAAGGTGAGGTACAAATAGATAAATAAAAGTTGTGAATACCACCAATACCAATGAACAAACAAAAAATGAAAACAAAGAGCTAGATCAAAAGCCAAAAGGCTCAAGTCTCCAAAGGTCTGGCTACTCTTGTTATCTGTTAATCACATTTTTCTATATCTCTGCATGTATTGGTTATGTACCTGTGTGGAAGAAAGAATTTAGTGGTCAAATAATTCATTCATCTCATTTTATAGATGGGAAAAGTCAAGTACAGAGAGGGCAAAGGACTTTTCAAATGTCCCCCCAGTAATTCATTTTGTTAGATTTAGCAGATTTCTGACTTTCAGGTGGTATGTCTTTAAAAAGGCAGCCTAGTAAGTCCCCCTTTCTTCAAGATATTAGTTTAAAATATCAGAATTGCTGTCAATTCCTACAAATAAAAATTATCAGGCCCCTTTTCAGATTTGCCAAATTAGAATGCTCAAAGGTGTACCATGAAAACTTGTATTTTAAGAAACTCTACAGTTACTCTGATACACAGAGGTTTGAAAAGTACTGCCCTAGACACTCTTTCCCTCAGATATTTATTTCCAAGTATTTAAAAGAAACAAAATAATAGTGGATCTGAAATACTCTCAGAACTGCCATGGTAAAGCATATATCGTAGGACCCAAGAAATAGCTGTAAGAAGCTATAGTCCTCACGTGCACTTGTGAAGCTGCTGCTTGTATGGGACAGACACCTCATCAGCCTGTTAGGCGTCTTTACTTCCTGCTTTGGTAACACAAGCCATCTTGAAGATGTAGTTACTAAAGTATAATTTCTCTGCCAACTCAAAAAATCTGAAAGCATTGGCTTTAGGTGTGTAATACACTCCCAGCTTCTCCTGACTCTAACAATCATCCAAAGAGCCCAAGGCAGAAGCTCCCCCTTTCCTCCAGCCCCAGCAACCAGGCACCTCTGGTCCAGCTGCATCTGCCAGGCTAAGTGTAGGAATACAGGCAGGCAGCAGTGGTGGACTCAAAAGAGTTAACCAACATCGTGCTGAAGAGTGGCAGGGAGAGAGGCCAATAGCATCTCTAGGCAAGCAGTACGTCTGGTGTGGGCCGGAGTGGGACAAAGCTGGCTAGAGGGAACTGTAAGCGGCCTAACGGTGAGAGGGCAGCCGGGGTACGGATTTGGAATAAGAGGAAGGAGGGGGCGGCTGGGAAAGCACGCGAGCATCAGCCCTTAATCCCAGGTCTCTCTTACTCTTGGGGTTTGGCAGTAAGGGGACAACCCAGAGCCTGGTGTATGGCCACGGAGTTACAGCATCCAGACCCCATGCCCTGTCACAACCAGCAAGTAAACGCTGCCTCAACCCCAAGTCCTGAGCTGCTGCGACCTGGAGACCTGCTCCCAGATCAAACTGGGGGAAATAGCGCTGCCGAGACTAAACTGACTCTCCTCACTGGGCACGCCCATTCTAGCGTGGCGGCTGAGTGGGGTTTTCAGAAATGCGGCCCCGCCAGCCTTAACTCCGAGAGCACCGGCGACACTGCTAACTGTTGTAACTATGACGCGCCGGCTGGCGACTCCTTCTTAGGGGACTGCGAACTCTCCCCACAGATAGGGTCGCAGCTGAAACTTCTGCCTATGAATGATCAGATCCGGGAACTGCAGACCATCATCCGGGACAAGTAAGTCCCGGAAGGGGAAAGGGAGGCGGAACTGACAAGGGACTGCATGGGATGGGCGGGGATTGGAAGTAAAAACTCCAAGGAATAGTGTTCTTGCCCTGGAGGAAATGGTCTTTGGAGAGATTAGGGCAGGGCCTTTTCTTTGGGGAACGTGTTTCAAGGGGAGCCATGTGACACACTTCCAACCCTTTCCTAGTTCCCAGTTCGATTTAAGTAGGCATGAATTCTTTTAGGTAGCCTTGGTCTCTCCTGGCCTCTTTGTCTCTGTGAGCAATGACAAATCTTCTACCAGGCCTACGAGATAAATGCCCCTATATTCTCTACCCAGTGCCTAATTGGTAAATTTATACTCCAAAAAGGGTTACTACCTATGATTTTGCAATACTACCAAACACCACAGGTTCACAGATAAAAATAAAGCAATTTCAAGGAAGTTCTGTTGTACCGCCTGAGCTTCTGACCTGTCAGTGTTTGCTACTGAAAAAAGTGTAATTTTGTTTAAATGTAGGATTTCAGGTTTATCTGATCACTTGAAAGCATATCATCCAATTCTTACTGATTGTTTTACTGTAAATTTACAAAACATAGCAGAGCTAAAGGAACCTTTCACCCCTGCTCATCTCACAAACCTTTGTAGCCTGAACTTCATGTTAAAATCATATTTTGAAATCGCTTTGAGAAAATCCGTGTAAAATATGCAAAGTATGTACCATAATGAACTACACCTGGTTTCTTTATTGGTTATACTTTACCTCCTTGCTGCGAAAGGGTCTTCCTGTATTATCCAGGCTGTCCTCCAACTCCTGAGCTCAAGTGACATTGCTGTCAGATTTCCAAGTAGCTGGGGCTACAGGTGTGTAGCACTGCACCTATTTTCAGTGAGTGGTGAAGCATACCTTGATAAAGATAGGTACTGTATGACAGAATGCCACTCCCTAAATCAGATTGCAGTAATTTTTCTTCATACTGTTATAATAAGCTCTTAATTTTCTTGCCTGCATTTTTTTTGACAGCAGCCTTCTTTGACTTCTCAGAGGCTACCAAATAAAGTCTTGAATCCTTGGCTAGGTGTTCAGGCCCCTCCTCATGATTCCTCGGAACTATTCTGAAACATTCTTGGTTCTCCTCTTATCTAGAATCCCCTATATCCTTTTTATTCATGTTGAGATCCTACCTAATTTTGAAGGTTAAATGTAGCTTTACCAAGAAATTTTCCTTTAATAATTCCAGGCTGATCTTTAGTGACCTTTTTTTAAAAAAAATTTTTTTGTTTTTTTGTATTTTGAGGAAGGCTCTCCCTTTGTACTTCAGGGTGGCCTGCAACGCACTATGTAGCCCAGGCTGGCCTCGAACGTGGGGAGATCCTCCTGCCTCAGCCTCTGGAGTGCTGGGATTACAGGCGTGTGCCACCACGCCCCACTTTCAATGCAAAATTTACCTTCTCTTTGGTATATTTTTACTTGTGTGTTAATCTTACCTTGCCTGTTAGGTTTTAGGTTCTTTGAAAGGCAGACTCTTCTGCAACTTCGAAATCCAACCATGCCTTGCAGGTAATAGATAATTACTAAAGATTCTTAATAGCTCTTAAAATTCTATTTTAAGTATGAATCTATGCTATTTGTTTATAATGAATCAGTATGGAAAACTGATCATGTGATGTAATAAATAGATGAAGTAGTAACTTTTAGAAGTATAAGGCAATTGCTTGGTAGTGCTGGTGTGAGCAGCTGATACCAAACATTTGTGAAACAAAATAGGATAATGATTCTTTTTCTCTTTTTTTGGTACTGGGGATGGAACTTGGGGTCCTTGTGCTTGCAAAGCAGGTGGTGGAACCACTGAACTAAATCCCCAGCCCCAGGATAATGATTCTAGTTTCTATAGAACAAGAGTTAACTAACTTTGCATCTTGGACTCCACTGCACCTGTAGATGAGTTTTAGGGCCTTAGTGAACCCTCAGAAGTTACATGCAAAACTTTATCTGTATGTGTATTTTCAATAGTTTAATATCTTAAACTAGGCATGATGACTAATAACTGTAATCCCAGCACTCTTAGAGGCTAATGCAGGAGGTTCATGAATTCTAGCACAGCACTGGCAGCTTAGCAACTTAGGAGACCATGTAGCTCAGTGGAAGGGTCTGGGTTCAATTTCTAGTACCAGAAAACAAACATCTTCATTGAGATCTAATTAACATACCATAGAATTCAGGTATTAGTGCACATTGGCTATGTACCATCACATACCATAGTCAGTTTCAAAACATTTTCATTACCCCAACAAGAAATCTCCTACCCATTAGCAGTCATACCTCATTTCCCTCCAACCACCGAAAACCCTGGACAATAATCAGTCTGCTTTCTTTCTCTATTAATTTGCCTATTTGGACATTTCTCTTTTAAAATTTCTTTTTTATTTTTATTTTTTTCTGATACTGGGGTTCAAACTCAGGACCTTGCATTTGCAAGGCAGGAATGGGGCCACTGAGCTAAATTCCCAGCCCTAAAATTTACTTTTTAAATTAAACATGAAAATATTATCTTTTCCAGTTTTATTTATTTATTTTTTTTGAGACAGGGTCTCACTACATAGTTGAGACTGACCTGGAACTCACTATGTAGCCCAGGCTGTTCTTGAACTCACAGCAATCCTCCTGCCTCAGTCTCCTGAGGCTGGGATTACAGGCGTGCACCACCCCGCCTGGCTCCAGTTTTAATTTATTATTAGTACCTGTTTACATCACATAATGGTTACATTCCTTGGTGGAAGCTGGTAAATGTACATGACACATCTTAATTCTTTTTTTGTCATCTTTCCTTCCCTTCCCCCTCCATCTCTTGATCCCTTCCCATTTGAAAAAGATCTATTTCCCTACTTCTTACTACCTGTCTCATAGTTTGGTATATACATATATATGTGTGTGTGTGTGTATGTATTTATTTATTGGTACTCTGGATCAAACTTGGTTCCTTGCACTTGCGAGGCAGGTGGTGGAACCACTGAGCTAAATCCCCTGCCCCTAAATTTATTTTTAACAGATACATAAAGCATAAAATTGCACATATTAATGAAATACCATGTAATGTTCAATATGCATATATATTACATAATTTTCAAATCAGGTTAATCATATTTATCTTTTCAAACATTGATTGTTTCTTTGTGATGAAAACTTTCAAAATCCTTTCTTCTAGCTTTTTTTTTTTTTTTTTTTTTAATCGAACTCGGGTCTTTGCTCTTGCAAGGCAGGCCACCGAACCGCTGAGCTAAATCCCCGGCCCTTCTTCTATCTTTTTGAAATCGACAGTACATAGTTGTTATCTATAATTATCCTCCAGTGCAATGACATATTCAGAACTTCTCAGTCCTATTTAACTATAGCTTAGTACCCATTGCTCAGCACCAATTTTTCCCTCCATGCTACTCTTTCCAGCCTCTACTAACCTCTGTTCTACACTTCTGTGAGGTCAATTTTTTTAGATTCCACATGAATAAAATATGTGATATTTGTTATTCTGAATTTTTCAAGTAAAAAGAATAATAAAATATGTGATCCTTTTGTGACTGCTTTTTTAGCGTAATGGTTTCAGGGTTTACCCATGTTTTATCAATCTATCATTCCTTTTTAATGGCTCAATAATGTACAGTGTAGAAATACAGCAATTTGTTTTTCCATTCAACAGCAGATGTTTGGGTATTTTCTACTCTGGCTACTATGAATAATGCTACTATGGACGTTTGCTTATGTTGCTTATTTTATGGGGTGAGGATCCTTATCTCTTATTAGATTTCACAAAGTGTTGTAAAGTGTACGTTAAGGACCATTATTGAATTTAGAGCATGATATTCAGTATTTATATGTGGTAATATCTGTATATACCTCATTATTCTTCATTACTCAAAAAACCTGAATTACATAGTAAACCTAGATGTAAGTGGAGTCTTTTGGTTTATTCTATATTTAGTAGGATCCAGAGGAATGATGTTAGGCCAGATGTTTAAATTTTCTGTGCGTTAGCTTTATCATTTGTAAAATGAATATGTTGGTAATGCATTATGGTGCTCCTGAGAGGCTAAAACAAGATGACTATGAGCATTTGTTAGAAACTGTGAAGAGTTGTACACATTTAAGGAATTTCAGATGTACAAGTTTGGATTTGTGCATACTTCTTTTTTTTTATTTTTTTGAGACAGGGTCTCACTATGTAGAGTTGAGACTGACCTGGAACTCACTATGAAGCCCAGGGTGGTCTCAAACTCACAGAGATCCTACTGCCTCAGCCTCCCGAGTGCTGGGATTACAGGCATGCACTACCAGGCCCGGCTAGTGCATACTTCTCTGGACAATAAAAGAAATATGGTTGAAAATGGAACTCACGTTCTTATTTTGAAAACCAATACTGACATCTCAGATAATTTTTATTGTGCTTTGATGCAGTACAGAAAGATCCACTACTTTTTTTTTTTTGCACCTGTTCAGCAAGTACTCTACCACTGAGCCATACCCTCAGCCCTCTCACTACAATTTTTGAAAGCTAGTTGATGCTTACTTAAGCTGGGGACAATGTTTTTTGTTAACCAAATTCATTAACAGACGCTGTCTCTTCTGTTTTTTTTAACTGGAAAAGATGGTCATCTTCTCACACAAACATGACCTATTTCAGTCCCTGTAGGGGTACCTATGGTAAGATGAAATATATTTACATAGGTCTAGTTCTGGAAAGAATCACTGGTTATCATATCTTGTTCTCTTTCTGGCATATGTAGTTGTCTGCTAATAGAAGCAACTGGAGTACATGTTGATTTTTTCATTTTGCCTGGTCCTTAGCGTCTATCTAGTTAGTGAAAGAACTGCTTTATGAATTGGCTTTGGCATGGGGAATTGGGGCTTGATCCAGTTGGACTGCAGGAAAGATTGAGAACATGTACAATATTTGAAACATAGACGGTATTATCTAATTCCGAGGAAATTATTTCTTCTCTATGAGAGTGCAGTAAT